GCAGGAAAAAGCAGGTGAAAGCAGGAAAAAGGTGAATTTTCCCCAAGCAGTTGTTGTTCTTCATGCAATAAACGACCAGAAAGGAAACATCAGGAGCTCTGGGAAGGATCCCTGGGTTTTCTCACCTTTATAAAACAGATCAGGCATCCAATGAGAGGATAAATGGGGATGAAGATGGAGAAGAGATAATGCAGGACACTGGTGACCAGGTACAAATCCAGGAAAAAGGCCACTTCGGTGACAACTGTGCAGAGCAGGGCTGTCTGCACAAAAGAAATGGGGAAAAAGTCCATTTTTATCCATTTCAGACTGTCAAAGCACAATTTAGCTAATTTAAATAGTTTTTGTCACTCAGGATATGGCAGTGAGAGAGAGGCATTGGTTTCCCATTTCCTGGGGATTAAGGACAGACAGCTCAATGAAATAACTKTGATTAATAAAAATTAATAMATATTTAAAAYATATTARTATTTTATATTAATATTTTATRTRATYATTATAATACTRTAATAATTAATATATACTTATACATTAATAAATATTAAAATTAATTAAAAATTTAAAAATAAAACTATAAAAAATAGAAATAAAAAAATAACAAAATGCTCTGGCTTTGGAGATCCCCAGCTTATCTCAGCTCCAGGCCAGGTCACTCACCACTGAAAATATAAATGACCAAAATTCCTTTGTGTTCTGCACTTTTTTGAAGGTGAAGGAGACCACGTAGGTGAAGAGCACCACGGAGGGGACGTAACCAATCAGGCAAAAAATCTGCAGAGACAGGAGAGGCTGCTCAGGGAATGTGCAGGGGGAATTCCTTTGCACAAAATCAGCTGGAATTGCCTCTGTGTGATACAGAACTCTGGGTTAATATTTGTTGTTTTATTTGATATATTTATTATAGACAATAAATATACTATATAATACATATTATATTACAATATAATATAAATTAAAATATTAATATCTATAACATAACTATATATTATTAAAAACACAAAGAGTGTGTGGAAAGGCAAAAGTCTCCCTCCCTCTATTTCTTATAAAAAAAAAAAAGGGACAGAGTTTTAAATACAGACACCCATAAATGCTGACCTCAAAATTTTGGCAAATATTAAGAAATTCACTGCAGCACTTTTTGTAGAAATTCAAATAAAGGCAGAAAACCAGCCCTGCAGCCACATCCCAAACATGATTAACACTGGAAAAGCAGCTGRGAAAAGCTGAATATTCCTCTAAATATCCCAGGGAAGCCCTCTCTGAATATCAAAGTGTCAAAGCCTCGTGGTTTCCAGGCTTTAATCACATCTGCAATTCAYTGCAGGGATGGGCTGAGCTCAAAGTCACAGCGCCCTTGTCTTTAACAGCAAACACAGCAATCCCCAGCACAGGGGAAGGAGCATTTCCTTGGAAAACTCGGGAATTTTTTTTTTATATAATTAAATCAATTTTTATCAATTGATTTTTTTTTTTATCATTTTTTTCCAGCCAGGCTGGAAAAACCCTTTGAGATGGTTGAGTCCACCCTGTGACCACGCAGTCCTCAAACACCTCCCTCCCTGAGCATCTTTCCAATCCTCATCACCCCGTGAAAAAATCCTTCCTAATCCAACCCAAACCTCCCCTGGCCCTGCTTTATTTCGAGCCGTTTTCCCCGTTTTTTTTTGGATTTTTTTCCCGTGAAAAACTTTGTGCCAGCAGCATTTTTCTGAAAAAAACAAAAAATTTCAGATGGGAAAAAAAAAAATCAGGAAAATGCTGCTGAATGAAATAAGGAAAAGAAAATACTTGTAAGTATAATAATAATAAAATAATAATAATAATGATAATGATAATAATAATGATAATAATAATATAATGATAAGAATGATAATGATAATAACGATAATAATAATAGAATGATAATGATAATAATAATGATGATGATAATAAAATATAATAATACTTGTAAATAAGGATAACCCTGCCCAGGCTCACCACAGCCAGGAATTTGCCCACGTAGAAATAAACACCATAGTGGAAGGCAAAGAGGCTGCCRATCATCAGCACGAGGATGAAGAAGAACAGAGGAAGGTCCACCACAGCCTGGCCAGTCCAATAAGCTGAGGGGTAGAGCCCTGCAATCTTCAGCTGGGTGTAAGCCTTGATCTGGGAAGCACAGCATTAATCAC